TTGTGACCCGGATTCGTCCGATGATTGTTGTTGGTAGGCGCTCTCCTTCACCCAGGCCACTGGTCCTGATAATCGGGTGCAGGCGGCTGCAGCGTTGCTTGCTGGGTGTGTGTTGCTGCAACGCTCTTGGTTTGCGGCCCCGGATGTCCCGAGGCTGCCCCGTTTTGGTGGTTGGGGTCTGGACTTGGGGGTGGGGGTCGCTTCGGCTCTGGCTCCTTCCGCTTCTTGTTCCTTCCCTTCTGTTCTACTCACTTCCTCCCTTGCTTCCTGCTCCGAACCATAGGTGGGTTTCGGGGTTGGGCGGGGTCTGGTTGGGTTGAGACTCGGGTGGTTTCGGGTGGTCTCGGGGGTTTTCCTCTTCCGGGGTGGCGGCGGAGGCATTCGAGTCGGTTCCTCCAGCCGTGCTGTATGGGTCTGACCAGTGGGCTCCCTTCATTAGTGTTTGCACGGCTGCCCCGGCTTTTCCTTGTTAAGCTGGGGCTTTGGGGGTGCGGCTCGGCCCTGGGTCATGCCGTAGAGGTTCCCGGGGTTAGGGAGGGGTTGCCTGGGGGGGCTCAGCCCCGTTTGCCCCTCTTGGGTCCTTGTACCTTTGGTGTGGGGCTGGCAGTTCCTCAGTGGGGTTGTTTCTTCTCTCTGTGTTCCTGTTGTTTTCGGGTATACCCCTCCCTGGGTTCGGTTCCCTGTACTATGGGGGATCTAGTATAAATGGATGTAGGGGCAGTAATTAGCATTAAGAGTTATCAAATATGGGAGATCTAAAAGGCCCGGCCCCCAAGTAAAATATCCACAGTGAATATTAATTGGCTACACAATGTCAGTCTAGAGGTTGATCAAAGATCTCCTACATAGGAAGAATGGATACTCCTTTACTAACTTACTTATTTATTAACCCCTTAACAACCCCCCATATACATTCACACCAATAACAATAATAATAATTACTTTACCACACTATCTTACGTTAAAAGCCTTGGTCCACATAGGCAGGATACAAGGTTTACACTGAACACAAGCTAGGGTAAAGTTCTACTAGGGAAGCACTTGAAGCTTGGGCAGCTTAGGGGGTAGTGAGCCCACGTGGTACCTTAACACAACACAACACTAATGGGTACCCAAAACACTGGCAAATACTACCCCAAGGTCTCCACCAATCTTACAAACCCAGAGTAGGCACACTTAAAAAACACAGGACTTAACTTAATGGTACAGGAACTTAAGGTAAGGGAAATAAGTAAGAGGAAAGGTAGAGGAGTGCAGAGCAGCTCAGAAAAGTCTTGATCCCCACGAACGCCAGTCAGAGAAGAGAGAGCGTCTCCACTCTCCTCCCTCAGTTCACTCGCTGCCAGCAGACTACTCAACTAATCGTACAGCATTCCTATCCCAAGTTTACTCAGGTTTACTTTACAAATGATTAGAAAGTATTAGTAAACATAGTTGGTGCCTATTTTATTATTTAATAATCAACCCCAAGCTCAGTCTTTAAGTGCTCTTTGAGAAACAAGAATAGTCTTACATCTGGCAGGGAAGATACAAACAAATGCACCTCACCATGCATCCCCCTACTAAAAGGTAGTTTATTTAGCTCAATTTTGACCTCTGGTTTCCACTGAGGAACCCAGGGTCGTAACATTGTTTTGTTTTCGCGTCGTCTCTACTTCCAGTTTCGGCGTTCTTTGTCTTCGTTCCGCACACCTTCCTGGTGTTTGTACAATGTCTGTACGTTGTGTGTACGATTTGTGTGTCCGCCTGGTGTACGAGCCACGCCTCCCGGTGGACGGGTGGTGCGTTTCGTACCTCGTGTGCGTTTTGTTTACGGGCGGTATGCTCGTGTGATCGCGCCGTTTCTCGTGGTTTTCTACGGCGGCTTGCTCGTTTCTCCCTCCAGTCATGGCCCTCTGGATGCTGAGGGTGTTTTGGATTTATATCTGGGGGTGTCACTTTGTTCTCCCTCTGTACTGCTTTGTCTTCTGCAGGGCGCGCACCTCTGGCCGTATTTCTCCTTCGACCTCGCATTTTATTCAGGTAACGGTACATACTATGCCTACTGCCTCGAGTCTGCATGCCTTTGGGTCACACCTTTAGCGCTGCTCCTGGTATGTTACTTGGCTCGCCTGTGTTGTGGCACAGTCGTGTGTCTGCTCTGCAGGTGATGTTGTCTTGTCTGGCACTTCTGTCGGCCTAGTGCTGGTTCTCACTTTTGGTGGGGTGCTTGCCTAGTTGTGCTTGCGGGGGTTGGCTCTGGCTCTTGGGCCCCGCTTCTCCTGTCAGTTGACGGTTGTGCAGTTTCCTGAGCCTTCTGGGCTCTGTCTTCACGTTTGCTCCTGTGGGTGGCTTCTGCCTCCTCCACATGGCTTCTTGGTGCTTTTCGCTTCCTTTCCCCTCTGACATTGATCAGGTTCTTTTAGTGTCTGTGTCTCCTTGTGTGTACAAACATACGGACATAAGTACAGTGGACCTGCGAAGGGCCTATTGGCCTGTGCGAGGTTGCTACTGTTTCTTACCATCCATTCCCACTCACATACATGTCCAACCCACCCTTGCACCAATTGTGGGGCCCCACCACCACGTTACGTGGTAATTGGTTCCGCATGTCACCGGGCCTATTACAGTGCAGGTCATTCCTCCGGTCTTTCCTGATTCTGTGCTTATCCCTTTTATACCCGTTGTTTCGTGCTCACAATGTGTCACAAGGGTGGCTTGTGCCACTATCCCAGTTTCTATTGTTTCGTGGGGATTGGTCAATAAACACAAACACTAAGGAACTACTTATCTTTTGTTGCATATTTAGTAGTTGCGGGTGATATTTTGGCGGGCAATGGTGCGGGTTGGGCGCTCTGAGTGTCGGTACGGTGTCTCGCATGTCTGTTCTAGACCACACTTGCAGGTAGTCTCGTTATTCTTCGCTACTCTGCTGGTTATATGCTAGGATGCCGCCTCACAGTTCTCCACAGGTTGGCAGGACTTTTCCTTGGACGTACGGAACGGTTTGAGTTCCATCGTTGGTGCTTTGGAGAGCTTTGCTTCTCTGGTTAGGCTCATGCGTTTGGAGCGAGTATCTTTTTGGGATACTCTACTCACTCCGCCACCCTTGTTCACTGTTCCATCCTTGTTTACTCTTCCCCGCTTGGCGGGATTGCGTCGATGGCTCCTGACTGGGGTGTTTGGTGTGGTGTTTGGTCACCTTGCATGTGTCTTTAGTGCCTTTTTGTCCATCTTTTGTTCTTTGTTGTCCTGTGGGGCTCTGCCCCGCATTTTGGTGTTTTTGTTTTCATTATCGACCCCGAGGTTTTTTCCCTGTCTGGACACTTTCCTTGCCTATCTTCGGTGCCTGACTGCACACTGCTGTCCGTGAGGTCCCTCAAGGATGTACGCACTCCTCTTCACATTTTGTGGTTGGTCATGTGCGTTACTTCCCGGCCGCTCCTTGGGCCGTATTCGTGGTTTCCTTACTTATTTCCGTTTTTCCTCCCCATGCTACACTTTTTTGTGTGTCTGGGTCAGTGCTTCTTGGTTATCCTGTTTGGTGCTCCGGTGGGCCTCTGTCCATGTTCCACGTCCTGCTTTTGGACTTCTCCGGTGTTCCGTTTTGGTACCGAGTTCCTGCGATTTCTGTGTGGTTTTCTGCAGGCTTCGTGTTGCGCTGTCTGTAGGGGGGAGTGTGGACTTTTTGGTCTGCCGCTCCTGCCTTCCTGGTTCCTTTTCTTGGAACCAGGTTTGCTGGGTTCTGGTACTGGTTTCGATTTTTCTTTGTTCCTTTTCCGGACCGGGTGTGTTTGCTTTCCTGCGGTTTCTCGTCCTCGGTAGTTATCCTCTTGGATGCCTTGGGGATGCGTGTCATATTCTTCCCTGCTGGAACTGGTTATGTTGCTCCTTTGGGTTACGGGGTCACTGTTTTTAGCTTCGCGTTTTGCGAATCTGAACACAGGTCCCAGGTTATTGGGACCAGGTTATTGGTCTCCCACCTGCGTGTTTCGTCTCGGGGGCAGTGTGTGGTTTTCCTATCATTGCGAAGGGTCCTTCGGTCTTTGATAGGGTTGGCTTGTCTTCCCTTCGGGGTTGTTCTGGGACCGTTGTCTGGGATTGTCCTGTCACCTCATGTTGGGTGGTGCTGGCAGAGCCGCTCCTGCTTGCGTTCAGTGTTGCGGTTCTTTCTGCTCCATTCCACTTGCTGTCCTGGGCGTTGTTTCCCTCTGGCCTGCTCTTGAGTTTTGGGGCCGTCCTGGTCGTTGGCCTGGGTGGTCTTTTTCTTCTCGTTTTGGTCTTTGTTTTGTCTCTGGTTTTGGTTGTTCAGTTAGGACAGGTGGTATCTGCCTCCCGGTTCCTTCCCTGTTTTACTTATCTTTGGGGAGGTAGCTCCGGGGAGCCGACGGGGCTCCCCCCAGAAAACCAGCGTTGAATGTAATGAAACGCCATTTTCTGGGTGAGTCCCGGAGGCTCCCCGGCATCCCGCCCTCCCTCCGGTCGGCGGCGTTTTTCGCGTATTTGACATTCAGCCTAAGAACTGCCAGTTGGATCGCCGGCGTGGAGGGTCTGGGACTCCCCCTTCCCCCTCTCAGGGAGAGGGGGGGGGTTGCGCAGACGGTGGCGCGGCGACGTGATGACGTCATGCTAGTTTGATAATTTTGTTTGGGGAGTTTTGTCCACTCGTTCGGCTTTCGGTAGCAATAATTTCACCAGAATAGGGGTTTGTTTTGGGGCGCCTACCTTTCTGGGTGCCTGTCCTGGTCGATGGCAGACATAGAATGCTCCCAATCACAAAGGGGTTTCTATAGGCCATTGCTCCTCGTGCCTCTCTGAGGGGGCCAGGTTCTGGCTCGTGGTCCCCGGTAGGCAAGAACTCCTAGCACTTTGACTGATGCCAGAAAGTTATACATATCCATTCAGCCTGGATAGCTCCGGGGAGCCTCTGGGACTCATCCAGAAAATGGCGTTTCATTACATTCAACGCTGGTTTTTAGTAAAAGTATGATTTTTCCTGTGTGGCTTTTCTTTGTTCTTAGAAATTGAAGTTTGATGTGTTTCCTTACCTCTCGTCTGGAGATCGTGAGAAGTACACAAGGATCCTTCTAGACCACGAAGGATCGAGGATTGAAGATATGAGAACAATTATAGGTGAGCATTCTTTTGTAATGAACTTAAATTTTTGTGGTTTGCCATTTAAATAAGAAAATGGTATATAATTTTAATAATATATTCATTAACCCTTGTATGGCGCCTGGTTATTTAGCATTTGTCATTCACAGGCGCATACCAAAAAAAAAAAAAAAATATTTTTTCTTCTAAACCTGTTAATTTGTGTTCACTGATCATAGGAAAAATAATAAAAAAATCGTAAGTGGCATATATTGCCCGCTATAGGGCGGGGAAGTCTGGCAAAAAACAGGCGCTGACTGAGCGTGCGTTCCAGACGGTCTGTTGCTCGCCAGCTGTCACACCAGAGTTGCCACAAAGAGATAATTACCTAATTATTTCAATGTCACTGACTGATTTTTCGTAGTTTTTTTGCTGTAATATTATTCAAAAGTGTGTAGTGCGATATACTGCATTTATATAATAAGATGAGTGAATCATCGCTGCACTCAAAAATATGGTGTGCATATTGTTGATTCAATTATGTTCATCAAACAGTGAACAAATACTTTGTCGGTTATTACACTATATACACAGGTTATATATAAGTATCTGTATGTTTTGTTCACCATAACGAACCACTAAGTTGCTATTATGAGTCAAAAAGTAACGAGGAGTGACCGCCACACACCAGCCAGTCACTTATTTATTTATTATTTATTTATTTATGCATATACAAGAATGTACATTGGGAATGTGAGGATACATAATATGGTAATTACAGTCTTGTAAAGCCACTAGTACGCGCAGCGTTTCGGGCAGCTCCTTAATCTAAGAAAATTTTAAGGAGGTAAACACTTGCAAAATTTATAGACAAAAAATGATAACAGTTACATGGAATGAAAAAAAGAAGATAAGAGAAAATTGTAGGTACAGTATATTAAAGCACATAGGTAGCTAAGATTGATTGCAATGACAGATTGAATGGTAGTTGACAAAAATTATTAGGCACAATACAGCAGAAACAATATAAGATTGATTGCAATGACAGCTTGAATGGTAGTTGACAAAAATTAGTAGTCACAATACAGCATATGGCTAGCACATAAAAGAAGACAGCAATGAACACAATGATAAGGTTGTTTGATACTACATAAAAATTAGGAGATTGGGTAACACTATGTACAGAGCAAATTTAAAGCTCAGTGTAGGAAACTAAGAAGATGAAATTAGGTACTTTTTGGTTTTACTTTTAAATAAGGCAAAAGTTTTACAGTTTTCCAATTCACTAGGGAGTGAGTTCCATAGTCTAGGTCCCTTAATTTGCATAGTGTGTTTACACAGATTAAGTTTGACCCTGGGGATATCAAAGAGATATTTATTTCTGGTGTGGTGATAATGGGTCCTATTACATCTGTCCAGGGAGAGTTTCAGAGCATGGTTTGCATTTAAGAACAGGGTTTTGTAAATGTAGTTGACACAAGAGAATGTGTGGAGGGAGTTAATATTTAGCAAGTTTAGGGATTTAAACAAGGGAGCTGAGTGTTGTCTGAAAGCAGAGTTAGTTATTATTCTGATAGCAGATTTTTGCTGTGTGATGATAGGCTTAAGGTGGTTTGCAGTGGTAGACCCCCATGCACAGATACCATAATTAAGATAGGGGTAGATTAGTGCATAATATAGTGAGAGGAGAGCAGAGTTAGGAACATAATATCTGATTATGACCACTCACTCCCTCAACACCTCACTCGCCCACATTCTCCTCCCACAATACTGTTTTTGCTTTTATTCACTATATACAGACGCTATATATAAGTATCTACATTTGTGTTCACCATAACGAACCACTAAGTTGGTATGCTGAGTGGCAGTGGCAGCCCGCCACTGGCTGCCCCTCCCTCCCTCACCTCACCTGACTTGCCACCATTCTGCTCCCACCATACTGTTTTTGCTTTTATATACAGATGTTATATATAAGTATTTACATGTTTTGTTCACCATAACTGTACATCTAAGCTTGTATGGTGAGTAAAGGCACAAAGACGTAGCTACTCACACAGCTGGTGGCGGCCGCTCTCAAGGCCAGACGCACTAATATTTCTCCACCAACAATACTATTTGTGGTGTTATTACGCTATATACACACATTATATATAAGTATCTACCTGTTTTATTCACCATACTTGTACAAGTAAACTGGTATGGTGCCCAAAGACCATCGTGGTCACCAGTAAACAACATAATAAGTCATGCAGACGACGCCACCTCTCACCAAAATGGCGGCTCCCAACCTACTCCTATTGCTGTTTATACCCTCTATACACACGTTATATATAAGTATCTACATTTGTGTTCACCATAGCGAACCACTAAGCTGGTATGGTGAGTGCAGTCAATAAAAGGTGGCCACACACAGTCAGAAGACAATGCCACCACCCTCCCTCCCACAGCATTACTCCTCCCAACATGGAGCACAGAGCTAAATATCACCACAATCCTGCTTTTATCAGAACTCTGGTTAGTTTTGTCACAGTCAGGGGTCTTCTGTAATAATATCATCGCTACATAATAGCATGAACAAGTATATTATGGCATTTTTAGGCGATGCTGTGGTCACAAGATGAACAGCAGTGCTGTGAGCTCATGCTGCGTGCGTCAGGCTTGGTAACTCGCTCAATACTGAGGCCCTTAACACCCGGGAATTTGGCCCACGATTTAAAAAAAAAATTGCGTCTGTTTACAAGAGCCCTGATGAAGCTTCTAACATGGATGAAAAATTTTCTGACTGATAGAAAAATAAGGGCAGTAATCAGAGGCAATGTATCGGACTGGAGAAATGTCACAAGTAATAATAATAATAATAATAATTTTTATTTAGGTAAAGGTACATACATAAAGATATTTTACAAAGTTTGTTGGCTTTATAGATAGAGCTAGTACATACAATGCCTAAAGCCACTATTACGCAAAGCGTTTCGGGCAGTGGAGTACCGCAGGGTACTCCACGTTTTACGTTCTTGCACCAGTGATGTTTATTGTCTACATAATTGATCTACCAGTTGGTACACAGAATTATATGAACATGTTTGCTGATGATGCTAAGATAATAGGAAGGATAAGGAATTTAGATGACTGTCATGCCCTTCAAGAAGACCTGGACAAAATAAGTATATGGAGCACCACTTGGCAAATGGAATTTAATGTTAATAAATGTCATGTTATGGAATGTGGAATAGGAGAACATAGACCCCACACAACCTATATATTATGTGAGAAATCTTTAAAGAATTCTGATAAAGAAAGAGATCTAGGAGTGGTTCTAGATAGAAAACTATCACCTGAGGACCACATAAAGAATATTGTGCAAAGAGCCTATGCTATGCTTTCTAACTTCAGAATTGCATTTAAATTCATGGATGGCGATATACTAAAGAAATTGTTCATGACTTTTGTTAGGCCAAAGCTAGAATATGCAGCTGTTGTGTGGTGCCCATATCTTAAGAAGCACATCAACAAACTGGAAAAGGTGCAAAGACATGCTACTAAGTGGCTCCCAGAACTGAAGGGCAAGAGCTACGAGGAGAGGTTAGAAGCATTAAATATGCCAAAACTAGAAGACAGAAGAAAAAGAGGTGATATGATCACTACATACAAAATAGTAACAGGAATTGATAAAATCGACAGGGAAGACTTCCTGAGACCTGGAATTTCAAGAACAAGAGGTCATAGATTTAAACTAGCTAAACACAGATGCCGAAGAAATATAAGAAAATTCACCTTCGCAAATAGAGTGGTAGACGGTTGGAACAAGTTAAGTGAGAAGGTGATGGAGGCCAAGACCGTCAGTAGTTTCAAAGCGTTATATGACAAAGAGTGCTAGGAAGACGGGACACCACGAGCGTAGCTCTCATCCTGTAACTACACTTAGGTAATTACTTAGGTAATTACCCAGCACGAGCACGGCCGTACCCAGCACGGCCGTACCCAGCACACGGCCCCAGTACCCAGCACGAGCACGGCCGTACCCAGCACGAGCACGGCCGTACCCAGCACGAGCACGGCCGTACCCAGCACGAGCACGGCCGTACCCAGCACGAGCACGGCCGTACCCAGCACGAGCACGGCCGTACCCAGCACGAGCACGGCCGTACCCAGCACGAGCACGGCCGTACCCAGCACGAGCACGGCCGTACCCAGCACGAGCACGGCCGTACCCAGCACGAGCACGGCCGTACCCAGCACGAGCACGGCCGTACCCAGCACGAGCACGGCCGTACCCAGCACGAGCACGGCCGTACCCAGCACGAGCACGGCCGTACCCAGCACGAGCACGAGCACGTACCCAGCACGAGCACGGCCGTACCCAGCACGAGCACGGCCGTACCCAGCACGAGCACGGCCGTACCCAGCACGAGCACGGCCGTACCCAGCACGAGCACGGCCGTACCCAGCACGAGCACGGCCGTACCCAGCACGAGCACGGCCGTACCCAGCACGAGCACAGCAGTACCCAGCACCGGTACAACAGCCGTACCCAGCACCAGCTCAGAAGTAGCTGAAGCAAACACAGCAGCAGCAAGCACCAGCAAAGCTGATGCAAATGTCTAAGAACATCGTGTGTGTAGTGTACAGCTAGAATAAGTGTTAAATTTAAGTGCATAGTGTTAGTGTTCAAATCAAGGTTACAGTACAGTAATTTTAGTGTAAAATGGTTTTCATAAACTGTATTGTAGTACTCAACATACAGCAGAACTACTTATCAATACAGTGCTAACGGCATAATACAGTACAGTACGTATTTACTGTACAGCATTCATGACTCCATAAGAATTCAAGATGGACATAACTCCAACAATAAGGTAAATAACAACTGTAACACAGTATTTTTTAGTAAAGTAGTAATATATAGGTACAGTATATAATATGATAATGTATTTTTATTGTTTACAAGAAAAAAAAAGACACTTGACGCAAACGCCTCTTGAAGGTCACCTCTTGCAACGAATCCAACGCTCCAACGCACTGGGGTTGGTCCCATATAG